TGGTCTGTTCATTTTAAAGGCTACGTGGTGTGTGTGTGTGAAAATGAATAAGGAACGTTTGCCTTCATGTTCAGGATAGCTGCTTTGCCAAATGAAATGGATGTCTCCGACTGCAGTCATCAAGAGACTTTGTTAAGCTAGCAATAAAAACAAGAAAAACTGGACTTTTATCTGACTAACTAACGGATTTACACGTTTCTCAGGTAAACCAAAATCAAGTCGTCATGTGTCCCTTGATCATGGCCGTCTCCCTCCGCCTAAATCTGCTCCATTAAACAGAGAAAAAAAGTTTGTGAGAGGTGATCATGTAGATATCAGTTTAGGGGCAACAATAGATTCTAAGCGAACGGATGATTCTCATAAAGATGAGGTTTTGCCTTCATCCTTATTTTTCAGGTAGTTTTCTGATATTTCACTCGTTTCATCCTCAATGTTCCTTTAGGGCATCAATATGAGTTTTTCTCTTGTTCTTCAACAGATATTTTCTATAAGTACAGCAATCAGACCCTATTTTTACAACCGATTTGCTAGTCAATTTGAGTTATAACCAAACCAAGAGCAATGACAGTATATATAATTGCTTTTGATCTGTTTTAATGTGATATTACCTTATGAGAATGCATCCATGCCCTAAGGCCGACGTCTGGTCAGCCGGAGTCACCCTGCTTTACCTAATGATGGGAAGAACTCCTTTTTGAGTTTTTACATTCACGATAGATCCCCATTTTTTTATTATAAAAATATGCTCCGGATTTTTTTATTATAAAAATAAGCTACGGATTTTTTTTATTGTTAAAAAGAGTATAGCCGACCGGCTTTACTGGGGTCCTTTCTTAATTCTTTTTTATAACTAGTACAGCCGTGCGGCTATACTGTTTTCATGGATAATGCAATCCTCTTTTTTTTTTTATAGGGAAATTTGCATAAATACCACCTGAACTTTTAGGCATGTGCACCATTACCACATGAACTTTTAATTTTTATTTTTAACCATCTAAACTTTGTTAAGTGTTTTAATTCACCACCTAAGTCTAACTCCGTTAAAGTTTCCATTAAATATGAGGGCATTTTCATCAACTCACTAGAACTAAAAAATAAAAAAATAAAAAAATAAAGTAAAAAGAAAGTTAACCTACGCCACTTCCCCCACCCTTCCCTTTTCCAACGCCGCTCACCTCCCACCCCATCCTCCCATTTTCCAACGCCACTCCCCTCCAAAACACCCTTTATATACATATAAGTCATTTTATAACTATATTCTATAAAATAGGAATTGCAAATCTTCCTTATGCATACTTGCAACTTTGTTTGGATTCGCTTGAGGTTGTTGCTGTCACAATTTGGTGCCTCCCCAGTAAATATATGAAGTTATGATCCATTTCATTTAAGGCATGCCCCTTCAATTTCAACAACCCACTCCAAGAGACGGCAAAAGACAAACACAAAGAGAAGTTAGGGGTGTATGCAAAGGGTGGGGGATTTGGGGAGAAGTGGCTTTGGAAAAGGGTAGGGGTAAGGGTAGGGGAAGGCGTGGTATAATTAGGTTAACTTTTATTTATTTATTTATTTTGTTTTAAATTCTATTTTTTATTTTTTGGTTCTATTGAATTGTCGAAAATGCCCTTATATTTAACGGAAGCTTTAAAAAAAATAAGCTACGGATTTTTTTATTGTTAAAAAGCGTATAGCCGCCCGGCTTTACTGGGTTCCTTTTTTATTTCTTTTTTATAACTCGTATAGCCGTGCGGCTATACTATTTTCACGGATAATACAATTATTTTTTTTTATAATTGTTTTTCCCCAATTTTTGTTTATCGATTAGAGTGGTTTAAATCATTAGTCATTACTATTAGGCCATTAACCGAGTCTCTATTATCCTCTTTTGAGTTTTTACTTTTCCAAAGTTATTACCCGTATAAAGAATTTAGCATTTTCGCGTTTAATACTCATATTGTACACGTACGTATTTTTCATGTTTAATACACTTGTTTTCTTCAAAATTTTCAATAATACACACAAAATTCACGTATTATACACAAAATACTCACATTTTATTGAATAAAATAAATAAATATTAATTATTCACTAAGTAAATAATAATTATTCACTAAGTAAATAATAATTATAACATAACTACTAATTAAAGTAATTAAAAAAGAGAAACTCATTCACTGGGTATAGCCGCACGGCTATACGGCTATACTTAAAAAAAAATTATATTTATAGGGTACAGCCGTTCGGCGATACCATTGAAATATTCTATTTCTTGACCAAAAAAAGAAATATTCTATTTATAGAGTATAGCCGTCCGGCTATACTCTTTGCACAAAAACATGTGCCAAGCGCAGGGCAGATTTTTTATATAAAATAAATAGTATAGCCGTGCGGCTATACTATGGATTTCTTTTTACATAAAAAAGAGTAAAGCCGCCCAGCGTTACTGTGGTCCTTTCGTTGAAATTCCTTTTTAAGAATAGTACAGCATTGCGGCTATACTCTTTACAAAGATAATGTGAATTTTTTTTTTTTAATAATTGTTTTTCCTCGATTTTTGTTTATTGATTAGAGTGGTTTAGAGCATTATTCATTAGTATTAGGCCATTACCCGAGTCTCTATTGTACGAGAAATTATACAATAGTATGGTAGTACCACGTGGCAATTGACATGTGGTATTACGTTCCACTGAGCTTGCAACACGTGGATGGTAATAAATCTCTCCGTGACGATGTTTGCCTTCTCCAATCCTCTGTTTCTTTGCTATTCTTCCTAGAGACTGAACTCAAATTTGAAGGCGCCGACTTTGACCCCAAAAAAAAGCTTGAAGGTGCGTACCAGAAAAGGGAAGAAGAAGAAGAAGAAGAAAATGCAAATTAAAAATCTGTGTTCTGTGTAAAGCTCCGATGCAAAACAACGGAGTTACATGATGCAAGAAGCCAAGATTATTTCTTTTAGCGGTTGATTTATTTGAAGCAAACTCTCACTGAAAATTGCCAAAATTTATGGATTTTTTTATATTCTTTCTCCAAGAGAAGGTGTTTTTCAACACATAATTTTTATTTTATTTTAGAAATCAACCATGATCAACCCATGATCTTTAATGGGTCTTTGTTGAATAATGAATTTGCATGAAATGATGGTGTGATAGACCAACAAAGATTGTGGGTAATGGATTTGTCGGGCAAAGTTCTTCAATTTCTTCATAGATCTCTAATTAATGGGCCTCTTGGAAATTTTGTTATTCTCTCTCTCATAATCTTTGACAGGTAATGGGTGCTCTAAACTTGATATGCACAAGCGATGTGTTCATGGGTAAACTGCCGACTGAAATTTGGAGTAGTGTTAAGTTTTCAGAAAACGGGATCTGAGGGCAGAAAGAGAGAAGGAGGAGACGGAGGTTTTGGAGAAACAAACGTCGTTAGAGAGAAATTTATTACATCCACATGTCGCAAGTTCAGTGGAACGTAGTACCACGTGTCAATTGCCACATGGTACTACCGTACTATTGTATAATTTCTCCTATTGTACCCTTTTGAGTTTTTACTTTTCCAGAGTTATTACTCGCATAAAGAATTTAGTATTTTTCGTATTTAATACTCGTATTGTATACGTATGTACATATTTTTCATGTTTAATACGCTTATTTTTTACAAAATTTTCAATAATACACACAAAATTCACGTGTTATACACAAAATACTCACATTATATTGAATAAAAATTTTAAAAATTAAATACTAATTATTCACTAAGTAAATAATAATTAATACATAACTACTAATTAAATTATTTTTAAAAATTCTATTTATATAGTACACTATACTGTTGAAATATTCTATTTATAGAGTATAGCCGCTCGGCTATACGTTTTGCACAAAAACACATTTCCAGCGCTGGCCGGGGTTTTTTTTTCAATAAATAGTATAGCCGTTCGGCTATACCCCGGATTTTTAAAAAAAATATATAAATAAGAGTAAACCCGCCCGGCTTTACTGGGGTCCTTCTTTTGAAATTCCTTTTTATGAATAGCACAGCCCTGTGGCTAAACTCTTTACATAGATAATGTGATTTTTGTTCTTTTTATATTTGTTTTTCCCTGATTTTCTTAGAAAGAGAGAACAAATTATGCTAGTCTGTCCACTTAAGTATTCTATTTATGACTCCAGACATCCTTGTTTTTTGCCCTCTGAGACGAGTTTTATTTTGACGTGATTTCTATTGTTTATGTCTTTCAGTGACTCAGCATGGAGTTTTTTTTTCACCCAACACTGTTTCTCAATTATGCTTGTCTTGCAGGATCTAAAGTGCTTTGTGTTCTCACTCATCTCTCTCCACTTCAAGATCAAGCCTATATAAGATGCAACAGAGTATCAAGTGTCTGCCAGACAAGTTGCATTCATGGGTTGTGTATGCTTTTCCATAGAGTTGACATTTTTACTATGAAGGCCTAATCATTGACAGTTTTTGTTACCTGGATGATTATGAAAGGGGATTTCGGAATGTAAGCGAAAATGGAATGCTATAATTTACTGCGAAAGCTCTAGATTTTCAGTGCAGTGTGTGTGTGTGTGAGTGTTTTGGGGTTGCAGCAGTTGATTGTGCCGTACGTAACCTGCCAAAAAAGAAAGTATTCAAACGGATTTCATCTTGGGTGTCAAATCGGATTAATATAGCTTTAAACTCTTGTTCTGGAATTTTATATTATTAACTAAATATATTCCTTCAAAGATTTTTTTGGGTTTGATATCAAAATACCGTACGTTAGAGATAGTTTAACGTTAGAATTTCCATTAGTTGCTGATATTTAGGGTTAGCTTACCGTTAGAATTTCTGTTAATTGCTGATGTTGATAGAGACTTTAAAAGCTTGACGAGGAAAATAATTTTATTCTAACTTCTTCTGTTCTTGCCAAAAATCGATAGAAACTTTATGAGAAGCGAACAGAAACAACTTTTTTGGCGTCGTTATAAAGCAAATTGAAGCCCACAACACAAACTATAAATACAAGAGAATTAATTAGAATAAAATATTCGGTTTCCCCATGAGATTAGGATTAAAAAACCTATAAATACATATGCAGCCTGAGCCTTTAGTAAACACTAGCTACTGTGATTTAGGGTTTCCAAAATTCGCTGTAATCTTTTCTCTTTCAAACGATCGAGTCGAGACCCTACTTTTCTCTTTCAGACAAGATTTTTTTGGCGTCGTTATAAAGCAAATTGAAGCCCACAACACAAACTATAAATACAAGAGAATTAATTAGAATAAAATATTCGTTTTCCCCATAAGATTAGGATTAAAAAAACCTATAAATACATATGCAGCCTGAGCCTTTAGTAAACACTAGCTACTGTGATTTAGGGTTTCCAAAATTCGCTATAATCTTTTCTCTTTCAAACGATCGAGTCGAGACCCTACTTTTCTCTTTCAGACAAGATGACGGCTCTGAAGGAACAGCGATGCGAGCGAGAGCCTCCTGTTGACGATGACGACTTTGGTGGACTCCCTTGCCCTCCGCTGGACGACCTTGAAGCTGTCTTCATCCTTGAAACCATGACTTGCGATCCCTCCAACTTTTTCGACGACATCAAACTTGACGATGACGACTTTGGTGGACTTCCTTGCCCTCCGCTGGACGACCTTGAAGCTGTCTTCATCCTTGAAACCATGACTTGCGATCCCTCCAACTTTTTCGACGACATCAAACTTGACGATGACGACTTTGGTGGACTTCCTTGCCCTCCGCTGGACGACCTTGAAGCTGTCTTCATCCTTGAAACCATGACTTGCGATCCCTCCAACTTTTTCGACGACATCAAACTTGACGATGACGACTTTGGTGGACTTCCTTGCCCTCCGCTGGACGACCTTGAAGCTGTCTTCATCCTTGAAACCATGACTTGCGATCCCTCCAACTTTTTCGACGACATCAAACTTGACGATGACGACTTTGGTGGACTTCCTTGCCCTCCGCTGGACGACCTTGAAGCTGTCTTCATCCTTGAAACCATGACTTGCGATCCCTCCAACTTTTTCGACGACATCAAACTTGACGATGACGACTTTGGTGGACTTCCTTGCCCTCCGCTGGACGACCTTGAAGCTGTCTTCATCCTTGAAACCGTGATTTGCGATCCCTCCAACTTTTTCGACGACATCAAACTTGATGAGCGCGACTTGGCAATTCTGGAGAAACCCAAGAAACCATCTCACGGCAAAGGCAAGGATTTGGAGACCCTCCGCATGATGCTAAGCGCACCACCTCAATCTTCTTGTCAACAAAACCCTCAGGGGCCCAATCAATCTGATCCTCATCGTCATCGGCAAGATTGGGATGATGAAGAGAAGTTGGAGACTCTCCACCAAGGCTGCCCAGAGTTTCAAAACAAACGAGAGAATATTCAAGTTATCGACATCAAGAACTTGCCTTTGCCGTCTAAGCCGGGACAAGGTCTGGTTTTCACAAAGAACAAGTTTCTGACTAGCTCCAGGCAGTACCGAGCCTTCTGATTTCTCGGAGAACACGTTTCTTATTTTCTAGTTTATTCTTTAATTGATATCAGATGTAATTACATGGTTTTTGAACCGCAAAACGATTACAAGTTCATGGTTTTTTAGGAGAGCTAGCACGTTTTTTATTCAATTCATTCTGTAATTGTGATCAGTTTATGTAATTGTAATTCGAGTTATAGATGTTCCTAATACTAAAGGTACCTATTTTCCATGTTGAGTAGTGTTTAATTTTTGGTTTATGTGAATTTTTGGACTTGGAATTTGTTCTGGCGAAATGGGTTCTTATTGTTTCTGTGTAGGGGGAACTTGTCTCCAAGTGGGTGTTCATCTTGCTATTTTTGTATCATCAGAAAAAACGAGGGTGCTTTGAGTTTTATTCATGTTATGTGCTCCCAAAATGGTGGTCACACCCCTATGTGAGAGGTTATTAACTTTTTAACTTCCTTCACATAAGAGTTGCCATTTAAGTTTTTGCTGCATTTTATTGATTGTTCAGGAGTTACTGGATATCAAATCCTTGCCATCAATGGAACTGCAAAGTTGGTGCAAGGCTCACACAAAAAGAGCCCAGTTTTTAAAGCTCATTCCAAGATCACTCTTTGATCTTGTGGACAAGTGCCTGACAGTAAACCCAAGGCTGAGGATCAGCGCGAGGAAGCTCTGAGGCACGAATTCTTTGCCTCGTGCCATGAGAGCTTGAGGAAGCAGAAGATGTTCAGGCGTGAGGTTGAGTACCCAGAATGATCTTCTTGTACAAGAAGTAAAGTGTAATGTAGTTTTGATCAACATATTTGAACAATGAATTTCATCATCACCTAGTTCTTTGGCTTAAAAATTGTATAGTTCCCGTAAATAAATAAAGTAAATAATTGCTTAGTTACGAAGTGAAAGCATATCAACTCAAATGCCAAACATCAAATTTTAGTTTGAAGGCGTAAACTTGCCTTTAAAATTCCTCACCACTATTCTTGCCTATATATATAATATTTTGGCTTTTTGAAAAGCATCAATATGTAAATTTCTGAACATTCATTGTGTTGTTTCTTTTTTTATCTGATGGAGACAATATACAAGCAATTACTATCCAATGGGGGGAAGTAATAATCAGCACAAAGAAACAAACCAAAACTGTTTTCAAGGAAAATTTACACAGGTAGTGGATCAGACCACCTTCTTTTTACCTCCGACTTTGATCGGACCTCCTTGAGTTTCCCATCTACTCCATAATCCCTCTCCATAACAAGGTTGATCCCTTCATCTGAGTACCATCCGACTCCAATGCAAAGGATGCCATCCTTGTTTACATCAACATAGGCCGTGACACCACCCGGAAGCCAAAGCATAGTCACATCTTGCATGTCTAGCATCTCTTCTTCTCCAAAGTAATCTGGATTCCCCGGCAAGCTCCTCTTCTTTAGAGTTTCTGTGCAAAGATAGACATACGGAGTACTATCGTTTTGCTCCATTACCATCTGGTCTATCTCCTCACCAAATACTGGAGTGCTACTGACATCAAACACCTTCCATGACCCAGTCAGCTCTGATGGTCGGGTTCGTTTGCGCTGAGAAAATGGTTTCAAATCGAACTCCAGATCACTGATTATGGTACAATAGGAATTAAATGAGTTCTCCAATGTCAATACAGATAACAAAATTACTGCTATAGTTTATAAGCAATGCAAACTCCAGAAAACCCTACTACAGAACTCTGGGGCATGAGCCCCAATGACAGATAAGGTTGCATAAGAACAAATTTTCCTCGTGCAAACAAATGAGTTTTACAGATTATAAGTGCAAAACTATTTCTTTTATATCTGAAGTCTTTAGGACACTGGTGCAAGAGGATACTATAGTTTTTTCCAGAGATGTACTGAAAGAAGAAAATATATATGTATATTTCAAGTTTTATATATCTCTTTCTTACTCCCTGTGGTATGATGCTATTACCATTGCATTAAGGTTTCCAGGACATCTATGTCCTACTAGCAAAATGGAATTTCCATTAATGAATAAGTCACAAAAGAAATAAGATTTCAATTAGATTTGAAGGTAACAATATGCAAAATCTTTACGGCTGTTAGAGTGGCCCAAGCAGAAACCTTGGAAATTCTGATGCACCAGTCTTACTGAAATTACAAGAAAATAACATAAAACACATTTACGTTCTGACGAAATAGTACCAATGCATTACAAGTTACAACTTACAACATTATGTAGCAAACTCCAATGTGAAATAAACTTTAGCATAGGATACCTTGGGTCAGGAAGATTGGCAGGACTAACCCACTGTTCTTCATAAACCGCAACTCTCATTATCTGTATGCTTGAACCACCATTGCTGAATTCTATAGTATGAACGATACGTAGCCTCTTGTGGCAACCTTTAACCAAGCACTGGACAAGGAAAAATTAAGAAAATGAATAACTAGTTTTTAAGTTTCTCGTTGATTGAGATGCGTGGGGGAAGTGGTAGGTCTTAGGTTACGATCTTATCATTTGTAAAAATAAAATAAAAAACAATCATCACAACATTTATAAACCCACATCAATACAATAATAAAAAAGTTTAAAATATTAATCAACATATTTTAGATTTCAAGACCTTTGTTCTGCAATTATCACATCTACTGTTCATTGGCATTTACGACTACATTTGTACATGCACTTTTATTACAGATCAAGAAAGGAATTTAACAACCTCTATCTACATGCGACTTGGAAAGTGTCCAGCATATGCCATACAAAACTTACTTGTTCAAATTTGAAAGTTGGTGAAAGGTAATACTTAGAGTCATCATCTTCACCAACCGGGATATCAACAGGACCCCTAGAATAAGATCCATCCTGCACATTATCAATCAGAAGATTAAATAGTTCCCATTGGTATTCAAGAAAAGATGGAGGATACTTTTGTCTATTGAAAACCATAAATGAAAAATTACAGGAAGCATTGATGGGAATCGAACCCATTGATAAATTTGAAAGAGAGAGACCTATAATTTCTTTTTCATGAACTGATAATCATGCCGTGGATGTTTCTAAGATAATATGAAAAGCACTGTCGTAAACTCTGGAGAAGCTATCTTTATAGTGAACAAGATTCACATTTAACAAATTCAAGGAAAAATACTATACAAGTGCCTAGTCGTACTGTATTTGTTCCAAAATACTGATGATTTATGAAATATCTAAATTGGCCAATTCAATCTGAGGCCTAGGAGAAAATTGTTTAACATCTCTAAATACTGATGGTTTATGAAATCTCTAAATTGGCCAATTCAACCTGTGGAAATGTTTTTGCAAATACTTACTAATAAAACAGCAAGTAGTAGTTACTTCCCAAAACCTAAATAATATTTCAACTTTTAGCTCTCTCTCATTACCAAGAAATGATAATATTGAAATTCATGCAGCAAGAAAGTCCAAAATTTTGAAGTCTGCAAGCTAATAAATGTCAACACTTGTTCTTGATACCGTAGTACTAACTTAGCATGCATTCTGAATAATATTGAAGAGGAACAGGGAGCACGCATACCTCAAAGAAAACAAGACCAGGTTCCTTACCCATGACATCTTCTTCCATCACGTCACTTCTTCCAAAATCAAAAGACTCAAATTCGGGCAAAACATGTTTTTTTCCGCTTCCATCAATATCGTTTTTGCGTGAAGCAGCGTCTCCACCTTCGTGCTCTTCTTTCATTCTATCGCTTCCTCTAATATGTTGTGGTATTTCACCGTAAGAATTTAAAGTCACCCAATTAATCTTCCTTTTGATTTGAGATGTTGGTCCTCCAGAATAGGATGGCACGGCCTCAATGTGGGAAAGAGTATAGCAATCATATAGATGTTCATCCCCGCTTCCGATTTCAATTGGCTCCATTTCAGCATTGATGGGTGAAAATACTGCTCCAACGCCCTTCCATATCCCACTGACACTACTAGCAAATGTAGTCCATGCTGGTCTTATCACAGGTTCCTGACAGGAAAAACCAGTGTTGAGTTAGGTTAACTCTAAGACACCAAAAGTGCAGCCTAAAATTTCTGTATACAAACCGCAAACATGAATGCATACTTGTAACAAATTTTCTTCTTCCTGTCCTCTTCTTTTTCTGTTTGTTTTATTTTCGCCCGTTGGGCAGGGGGTGGGGTAGCTTTCTCTGAATGCCCCATAACTTTGCAAAGAAATCAAATTTCCATAATTTTTTTTAACGGAAACAGTTCACTAATGTTCTGATTGATGGCAATAAGTTGTGCAAAGTTTCCCAGGTGTCCAGGAAAAGCTTCTAAGATAATACTTAGAGAAGAACTGAACAAACATGAGATCAAAGAACACTCTCTGAACAGAGGAGTCCAATCTATTATCTGCAACTTTAAGTGAACATATAAATTCATGAACCAAATGCTCCACAAACATAGAAGCACCTGAGCATTAAAATATTTTCTACCAAGTGGCTAATTCCCATCTCTCAATACTCATTACCAAGTAGCCAATTTCCAACTCTCAATACTCATTTCCTCTCCTTTTTTTCCCAACATTCTATCAGCAACCAAAAAAAAAAATGCAAACCCATTACCCCAACATAGCCCAAACAGAATAAAAAATTTCAAAGTACCTGAGTTTGAAGAACGGTCTCGACCTCCATTAACATAGCACCAGAGACCAACACACCTTTCCCGCCACCGCCTTCACTTCTCTTCCTCCTCACAACCCTCCTTTTGCCTCTCCTCTTCGGGTTTCTCCCTCTCTCTTTCTCCATCGCAGCGAGCTCGTTGTCCACGCTCCACACATTGTCCGCTTTGCCCTTGACCTTGGCTCTACCACCGTTGTTGTTGGGTGCTGGTTTCTTCTGGCACTGAGCGACGAGCTTCCTAGGGTATTTTGGGAAAGTGGAGGAGGGGAAGGAGAGAAAGGTGAAGGGGTTTTGGGCAGCCGAGGAGGAGAGTGTGTGGTTGAACCCCAAGTGGTGGAGGTGGTGACTGGTGGCGGCTAACCGGAGCGACGGTGAGGGCATTTTGGGGATTTTGCTTTTGTTTTAGAGAGAAAAGGAGCAATGGTCAGTGAGTGAGAGGGATAGAGGGATAAATTTGAGGCCTTTGGATTTGGGCTGGAAATGGTTGTGCCTAATCCAGTGCTTGCGTTCAAATATTGCGTTTCGATCCAAGAAAAGAAGACCTGTATTATTGATGATGAGGCCCATAAGGATACTGGATCAATGATAAGAAATTTGAACAAAGAATTCAAAACTTCGGAGGACCAACCAAGACGACTATAAGATGGGAACAAATTGCAATGTAGCTTAAGTAGTTAAGAGTAATTAGTCCTGCATCCGAGATTCTGTGTTCGAATTCCTCCACGAACTCTATTTTTAGAGAAATGGGGTTATCCCATGTAGGAGTAATTCTTAAAATGCAATCGATTGTAGTGTAACAAAGAAAAATAAAATCATGTGTTGACTTGAGGCTAGGTGGACTCCTTTTCTCTTTAATATTTTTGTAGGCAAAAAGTTGGATATCTATACGGCTAGATTATAGTTTTTAGAAAGCATAGTTCCTTCTCTTTCGGCACATATGGGGTCCCTTAGGGTTAGATAAAGGTGTTTAAATTCTTGATTAAGTAAAACCAAACCCAGTCATGTGCATGAATAGTCTTTCTCTTTTTTCGAAATTAGATGGGTCTGTTGGTGTCAAGGTAGACAAGACCTTCAACCAAATTAAACTAAGAAATTAATAGCAAGGAATTCATACTTTGGTCCATCCCACCTTTTAACATAATAGTGGCTCCACCATTGTTGTGCATGGGGGATGGATCATCTTTGGAACCCTTGTACTATATATAAAGCAAACTTTTGTGAAGTGGGCTCATATTATATGCCCTTATAAGTCAAGTCATAGAGGAAATGCAACTCAATTTATGAACTCTTTTGGCATTTATTGAATTGAACTGCAGTTTTATTTGAAATGGTATAGTTTATTAGCATGTGGGTCTTATAGATAGTATATTGCAATTCAATAGAGGGTTCATCACATAGCATCCTCTATTACAATTGCATCTATTGCAATGAACACACCATTGCAAGTAAGATTTTACTGTTTTAGTTCAATTTCATGCAATAAAATTGCATTGATCCTAATCATTGCAGATGCTCTAAATGATGTTATTATAAATAAATAAGAAAGAGAGATGTTATACAGATGAGAGATTACATATCTCGAAAATAGTTAGATAGATGTTTCAAAACCTAGTTTCACCAAAAGGCAAACCTACACAATTGAAGGGAATGGCTATTGGGTATTGGCTAATCGAGTTTTCCTTGTTCCTGATTCATGGAATTTTTTCATGGATGGGTGTGTAGTGGTTTGAGTTGAGAAGAAGATGAACATAGGGTTAGTGGATTTCGATGGTTTCGATGGTTTTTTTTAGTACAAGTGATCATGTAAAACACACTACCACAGTGCCATGAGGGTTTGAGACCACTATAGTCTGTAAGTCAATGCCTTTTTTCACTAGGCTAGACCTCGGTTGACGGATTTTGATGGTTAGATGAATAATTATAGTGTGGTATTGGAGTATGGTCACGTGATATAACTCGTTCACGTATTATAATATAAGGTATTTCTTATCAATATTATATTCTAAAAATGAGAAATCTTAACCATATCGTCCATTCATATTATAACAACATGAACGAGTTGAATCAAACATTATAATTAGTCTTTCATTTTCTTTCTTTTTACCCAAATCATTTGATGAGGTCATTTTTACAACAAAGTAAAACCTATTACTAATATTTTTATTATTAAAAGGTGATTAGAAAAAAAATAAGAAACGGTGAAAATAGAAAAACAAATTGAGGCCACCATGAGCTCAACAATGTCATGGACAGCTCACAAAGTTCTTGTCCACTAATAATGATTCTGAGTGACATTGTGATCTCAATGATTTTCTTCATGACCTAAAGATGTTTGGTCAGTGACCTGCAAACCAGTCCACACAAACTTGAATTAGTGGAACAAAATCTACAGGGAACGTCTGGTACATATATATACCCCTCCCATTCCTGAAAAGGGTAACAGCTTTTCTTCACTTTTGCTCTATGCCATCAGGACCTCTAGCTGCTCCTCTATCTTTAGAATATAGTTTCATTATTTCCGAACATATATTATCATGAGCCCATTTCATGATGTGGTTGAAACATTATTCATTCCCATTCCAACCCTGCCCTCTAATCCCCACTTCATCATGGCTTATTGGTAGGTAAACATGGATTTTGTGTCTAAATATTGTCCTGGATTCAAACCCCACCACAACTTTTAGTGGGCAATATATCAAGGGAATTATCTCAGTACACTATGGACTCGATGCTAACCACTCGTTTAAGCCCACTCAACAATGCGTCATATATGATCTTATAATTGTTTATTTATTAGATTCTCGGTGACAGATCATCGTTATCAAAGTTTATTTAATCAAATTTAACATGTTATGTTATTAGACTGTTAATTATAATTGCGCAGTTAAACATAATTTCATGGTCATATATTTGCAATTTAATTATGTTTTTGTATTGTTAAATTAGAAAAGTAGATGTATTCAACAGATCTGGATTCTCAGTTGACCAAAGAAAGGCTCATTAATTAGTGTTTGTTTTTCTGGATAATCTCTTCACGCATATCTATATCGTCATAACATTGCAAACAGCACCACCAGGTGTGTGGCTGCATTCTCCAAAGCAATGGATAAATAAACAAACATATATAGATATTCTCCTACGAAATCATTAACTTTCTAATTTATTTAAGATTCAGAGTTCTTTAATCAATTAGAATACAGAGTCCAGATCACATATTCATTGTGTTTATGTTCAAACTCACATCGTTTATATTCTATATCATTAGTTTTTTAAAGTTAAATCTTAAACTTGAAACTTTAGTATGCTTAATCCTAAACCTTTAAATGTCGTGATTATTGGCCTAAGTGAAATATGAATTTTTCAGATTTTGAACTACTCAGTTCGAACACATGAAAAGACTAGTGCGGTTGACAAACTACCACTTCCATCTGACAAACTACCTGGTACCTCAATAACAGGGGTTCGAAACCCATTTAAAGCACTTTGTGGCTAGAGACAAGTCAAACTCCAAACGGCAATTAATCTCATCCTTCAAGTGTAGGGACACCTCGTGGTATTTACCGAAAAGACTACACTTGTTAAGTCATCATATTGAATGATTCATTTGGCACTCAATGAACTATGATGACCAAACAAAAATATTATATTTTCATATATTCGTATTGGATACATGAATGAATGTACCGTAACCGAACCCTTGGACATGATATTGATACCTGTCTCTACTTCAACGTCGTGGTTGCTTTCTGTTTAAGAAATATATGATTAGACAAAGGTCTTGGTCAAATAAAAATTCCACGTAATCTTCAGTTGGCAAGGCACATAAACTAACATTATTATCATGGGGCCATGGGCACAACATGACATCCACATCTTATTTTATAGTTTTGACTAAACCCTAACTAAATCACAAGATTGCGTCCATGAACGTACCACTTTCTTGGATATAGTTGTAGCTTGCAACCAAAAGCCAGTTTCATACGTGAAGGAAAATAATTATATGCAAGTTCCAACGAGCAATGCGAGTCAAAAAAGCAAAAATAAAAAATAAAAAATCCAATGAGTAATGGAATTTTTGTGCCATCTTCAATAAATAAATTAGTCCAAAAAAAAAAACTTTCATTATCATACCCAATATAAGACCCTAAATTATTTATTAAAAAAAAAAAAACTTATATGAAATGGACTTTAAAAACACACCCATAGGCATAGCCCATTTACAACATAACAAAAAAGTTTTTAACTTTTTTTAAATTACAAAACTGTAATTGATTTCTTAAAACAAACCCAACCCCAAAACCTCATAAAAAAACCCAAAACACTCAATAGGGTATCAAAGTAACTTAATAATCAAAATGAAATTCAATAGGGTCAGCTGTCATTTTTTGGGTTTGTTTATAAAAATTAAATAATGTAGGGTTTATCTATATTATTGTGCTAAGAACAGATATATGACTAAATATCTAAAAAAGAAATTCTTAGAAGATGCTCTTGATTGAGTTTGGCTTAGTTCAATCATGGTGGTGTGATCCAATTATCCTTAGTTAATTAAGCTTTTTACCAAGTCTAATTAGGTCAAAGTAGTAGTTGATCGGAGTATTTAACTATTTATGCTTTAATTTATCAACTTTTATTTTTTTGGCGTAGGTGGGAATTTCTTTGACTTTATAAGAATATAATAATATTGCAACTTTTTTTTTTCTTTTTTGGAAAGTTGGTCACTGCTTTGTACTAAAAGTTGGTCACTTTTGTTCTACTTAATTCCCTTTGCAGATTTACGAACAAACCACATGTTACCAAATTGCGTGTGTGCAGGGGAACTCAATAACACGCAACAAATGACTGGTGATATTTTATTTTAATAAATAAATAAATAAATAAAGATAACAACCTTTGTTCTCTATAAATTTTTATTTATAATTGTTCAACCGTTACGTGATGTTATTTTTGTTTTAGTAACTTCGTTATAACTCGAAAGGTTCCACCGCAAAAAGAAATTTGCCCGAATATTTTTACTATTTGATGGTTGCTTATTCTAATCGTTCATCATTTCAAATGCGTTCATGGTAATTAAACACCAAATCATACTTCATCCGCTCATGACATTGTTACAGAATGATCACTACCATCTTGAGTTATTCGTTGAATTAGAGGCGATCACTCCACCTTGAGTACATAATCATGCACTAATACTTTTTGTGTAGCTTAAATGAGACTTTGACTTTTTATGATCCACATTCTCTAACAATCTCTTAATAATGTCCTCCTCTTTCTTTTTTCCAGATGAATCTGACCATCGTTGTATTATTTGAAAATGATTATACAACTCAAATTGCTTATACCTCAAGTGGTTGAGAGTATTCCATTTAACTTAATCTTTTTTTAATTTCTCATAATTTAATATCGCTTGTATTAAAAGAAAATAATCGTGAAGTTATGATGCAAGTGTGTTTGGTATAGAATCTTCATTCTATTTGGATTATTATCCCAAAAAAATTAAAATTTTAAGGCCACATACTTTGATTATCCAATGTTCTTCCCCTATATATTAATGAATTAGTTTCGACCAATTTTTTTTATTTATTAATTAGTAATATTAGCCCCTTCTTCCACCTTGGTGATATGCGCTGGTCAAAGTTGGTGAGGTTCTTGCGGGCTAGCTCGGCATGGCAGCTGCACTAGCTCTTGTCCATTACCCAATTTCCAGAATCTCGTCCCGTCAGATCAGAAGCCAAAAATCACATATATGCTCGTACAAAGCTTTACCTGCCAAAGTCCTACATTTATTTGCACACACCATACGCCATTGTACATTCTTATTTGACAACCCCCAGCCTGCCCAAGTGGCTGCCAAAATCTCACTGACACTGAGGAATTCAATTCAATCATTCTCAGAGATCAAATAGAATCTATACTTCGGTAGAGAATGATTAACGCGTCGCCGTCGAACATATTTTCATTTTCTTAAGTATAAATTTGCATTATAGATTGAGTGACAACTAAAATAGCGAGTTTGTGAGATTTTATTTATTTATTATAGATGAGGAACTTTAGTACCTGCAAATTTTATCCTATTAAACATGTTTACAAGTAGCAGGAATAATGAATGGAAATCAAATCAACTACTCCTTCTAGTTTATTCAATTATTAATTTTTGGAGTATTTAATTACGGATTTTAAGGTGAGAGTTGCATATCAAATGATTTTTTATGCGTAAATAAACGGATTAGAAGTCATAAACGTAAACTTTTGTTTTTATTCCCATTATTTGTAAGTAAACGTGTATCCCTAATAAATAATGGATGACCCTCGGCATTGCGTTGCTATTAATTTTACATCAATCATGGCAATGGCATTTCAGTAAATCTATTTTGTATAAATCAAATATCATGATGCTTGACAAATGGGTGAAACATGAATATGTCAGTGTCCATTTGTGAAGGTCATGAACCCTAAAAATCAACCCAAAAACCCCACCACCCTACCACCCTCCCATTTTTGGCCGACAAACTAAAACCCACAAAGTCCTTTCTAAACCTACTTTTTTCCCATAAATACATATCTGATGTGCCCAGCACGACTCAGAAAGAAAAGAAAAAAAAACCCCATGCTTTTGTTAATTGGAAAAGTCAATGTCGATTTCCATTGAAATGATGCTGTGGCTTGGCATCATAGGATTCTTGAATTCAGCAAAGCGATGTGGACTGTGGAACTCCAGGCTTGCACTATAGATATGGTCTCTCTGTGCGCCAAATGTCATCAAGACTGCATGTTTCAGCACTATGGAGTTCTTACTTATACTCCAAGTTTGCTAGGGACAATACAAATAAAAGTAAAATAGCTTTTTGTATACCTCTCTCTCTCTCATGTGACAGATTGAACCCACAATCTACAATCTTACATCTTTGTTATAAATAAAAGACTAAATTATTGTTACAATGAATCCTGAATTATATCTCGATTTGTATTTTCGTTCTCGAATTCCAATAATAATTGTTGTTGTTATCAAATTAGGTCTTACGTTGTACTATTGATCGTTTCCGTCAACTAATCCGTCAAAGATTTTAGTAAATTTAGGGTAAACTCAGAGGCTTTTACTAAAACTTTTTGTGTGCCTTTCTCTCTAATATGTATCAACTTTGTTAGAGACCCATGCGTGTGGACCATTACAATTTGGAGGCTTTAATAATATGGAACCAAAGTACAAAATGATGTTATAGGCTGGTAGGGTCTCTTCACAAATTGAATCCATCCATCATGCCTTTGTTCCACGCTTGGCTACAGCCCATGTGATTTTTTCCTCTCTTTTTCAAGAGGTCAAACTTTGTCATTGCAAGTCATAAAGTTAATTAAAAAGAATTTATTTTTTTATTAGGAGAAAGTTCATTAATTAGTTATTAGCTAAAGAAAACCCCCCCTTTATGTTGTTAAAAAATATGCCTATATGAAGAGGCATCCTGGTTTAGCTTTTCTGTTTCGGGCCTTTCAGCCTCGTTTGTGCCAAAGAAAAAGGTTATATATATTTTGTTTCGTAAAGAATTAAATGTTTATATAAAAACAGAGAAAACAAGTGTTAAACTTTGGAGTTTAAATGTTTATTGTATCGTTAAGTTTATCTAATGAAGTTCCTCTTTGATTAAAACAAAAAACAAAAGAGTTGAACTTTGAATGATGCAAACCCTCGCAGTTATAAAAATAAGCGAAAATGTTATCAAAATTCAAATTTTAATTTGGCTACAAATTCCCTTCCAATGAATGATGTACCACTATTTAATTTCTATTTTGTTGAATGAGGTTATGAGTTTATATTTTTCAAGAAATAGATTTTATTTTTTATTATGTTTAAATAACAGCGGAGTAGGCTTGAAAAAAGTAAAAGAATACCAATGTTCCCCCTATATATGGCGACTCGAAGAAGACTTCATTTAAGTGAAAATTGATGAAATCCCAGTGGAAAAATGGTTGCAGACCAGTGATCTCATGTGTGAACCTCCATGACATTTTGACAATGTGTGTGAGAAACCTCTCTTTTTATATTTTAAGAAAAGTAGTGGAAATCAAAGAGATCAATTTAGAAAATGAAGACAGTTATGATAAATTTTAGTGAGTATTCCATGACTACTGCTAAAACCCTTATTTATAGTGTACGAAATCTCCCAATCTTGTCAGTGAGTATAACTCAGTTGGTTGAGCTCTTCCACCTCTATCTATGCGGATAGAGATTCAAAAACTCAAGCACCCAATGAAAATTTGTGTAAACCTCCCCTCTCCACCCCGCCCCATAAAAACCCACTTGTACTAAAAAACGGATTCTAATGGATAACAAGCGGTGCTATTTTTCTTCATTGATAAGGAGGTGTCGTTATAACTATAACTTTCGAATCTCACATGACAATGAATTGGATTACACTATGATATCATTTAATAACAATCCAAAATCCCATCAGAGAATGCTAGTTGCGTGAAGGTATGGATCATAAAAAATAAAAATAAAACCTTCATAAACTTTCATAAATAAAACATACCCCAAATTTTGGGCCAAACATTAAATTGTTGCACATATACACACAATTTTTCTCACTGTTCAATCATGTCCATAGAATATTAAGAGCATGTTTGGTATCGTACTTGGATTCAATTTTATACACTAAAAAACAAATTTTAAGTCCAAAACCACAAAAAGACGTTTGATAGGCCCATTTTTAAAAACTCTAACCCAAAAAAAACTCAAAAACACTCCCATTATTAAAAACGAAATCTCTCTCTTTCTTCCTCTCTCCTTTTCTTTTGTTAATTTCAATTTGGGAATCTAGGGTTTTTGATTTTCTGATTTTAATTTCAATTTTTTGAGATCTTAAAAATAGTTTAGTGTTCAATACCAAACAAGTTTTTACATCTTAAAATCACTATTTGAAAACTCATGTTTTTAAAATAAATCATAGTTTTTAAATTTACTTTTAAAAGTAGAATACCAAACAAATTAAGTGATTATAGATTTTTCAAACTTTGGCCCACATCCTTTACATACAATTAGTACTATACGCAAATTTATATATACAAAGAAAACGTGCCAAGAAAACTGGGATACGATTTTTGGCCAGAGAAGCTACCCCAATATTATATGATTTATCTTTTCAAATTGTTATATATAAAAAAAGGATTCTGTTTTGTAACTCTATCATTGTCCCATCTTTCCTCACCTCACCCCCTAAATAAAAGTTACAATTAAGAATTTACTTAAATGAAAAATAATTGAATTACCAACCCAAAGGGTAAGTAGCCGTTCAAAGATCATGATCTAGAGATACATTACGAATTTTTTCTATGGTTGCATTGAAGGAAATCGAACTGTAGACTTATCATAGTCATGACACACTGCCTCGCTTTTCTCGCTTTACTGGTTTTCTCAGTTTCAACCGAAAATCCCATTTTTTTTGTAATTTTTTCCGATTTAATTCACACCGCACTCTCTCCTCCACCCATCGTTCTCCGATTCCGTTACTCCCAAAATAAAATTAAAAATTTTAAATAAAAAAAAGGCCCAAAAGATTTCGAGAATTTAAGACGGAGACTCGGAGAGAGAGAGAGTGCCGGCTTTACCTAATTAATTAATTTAAAGAATAATAATTATAATTAGGATATTTATTAATGCACTTCTTTCGTAACCTCCGACTCTTCTCTCTCCAAACAAACAAAACGACGCCAACGCCACCGCAACAAACAAACATATATGCTCACAACTCACAGCAAACAGAAGAAAGAAAAGAGAGAGAAAGAGAGAGAAGGAGAGAGAGAGAGCTTTGTAACCGATTCTACAATGGAATCTGAGTCCCAGATCTTCGAGAAACCCTAGCTTTTTTCTTCAAGATTCTCTCCCATTCCTCCAAGAACCGCTTCTTTCTCTCTCTTCACTTCACCTCCGTCGCAGTACCTCTTTTGCTCGTCTTCTTCTTCACCTTCGTCTCCGATCGAGCTCTTTCGTCTTGCTCGGCGAAGTGCCAGAAGCTCCGGTGCTCGCTCTTACAGCTCTGCAATATTTCGGCGGTTCGGTGCCGGTAAGCGCCGCATTTCCGATTCCAGCAACTTTCCTTTGAGACTGAGAGAGGAAAGAGAGAGGGAGCTTAGGGCTAGGACCTGCGGTGATTGATCGGATTGTTGATTGTGGTTATGGTGTAGTGGATGAGTATTATGGACGATAGAGGAGGCTCATTTGTCGCTGTTCGGAGGATTTCTCAAGGTCTCGACCGTGGCAACACCTGCCATTCAACTTCTGGTAGTCTACGCTTACTCTCTTTTATTTTTCTTCGCTTTTTCTATTTTTTTCCTATTCTCTCTCTCTCTCTCTCTCTCTCTCTTAGAAAGAGAACTTTTTCTCTCTCTAAAATTTTTATCTTTTTCAGCTTTTGTCCTTTAAAAAAAAATATTTTTCGGAGCTTAGATCTGCTACTCAGATTTATTGAGCTCCTAGTATCGCTGAAGTTATCACTCCTTTGATGTTTTCTGATATTCTAGATTGCTGTGGTGCGTGAGCCAATTTTATATATTTTTTTCCTAATTTTGTGATTGTAGTGTATGCAAGTTTTGGTTGAATTGAAATTTTGATTCGTCACACAGCAGTTACCTTTTCTCTCACTTCTGAATGTCTATTTTAATTGATTTCATCCTAGTTCTCAACAATTGATGTAACTTTGTAATTCTTCAATAGTTTGGAGCTTTCTAGCTGAAACTAAGGGAAAATGTATGCACAAATTGGTGAAAGAGCAACGAGTTCATTTCACAATAGTGAATGTGTGGTGAATTTTGAGTGGTTTCCTGCACCACTTTCATTGTTGTTGCAAGTTTTTATCTACTTGTATTGAACTTTATGGTGCTGACTGGTAGCCAGAATTTTACAAATTAGCTTAGTAGTGTGGTCTGTGGAGCCAGAACTGTTTGTGTTTAGATTTTATTATGATTTAGCTTGCATTAGCTGCTTATTATATTGTCCCTGTTTCCTGGACCTTCCTTTACTATGAAGTGTGGGAGCTCAAATTTCATTTCACATGCAGGCCCCCAAGGGTGCTAAGAAATGTTATTTATTATTTTTATTAATACTATTAGTAGTTTTAAATAGATTGCGTATTTCATAGTAATTGCAGCACAGCTGATCTTTACATCTGTCTTGTTCTAGAAATCATACAAACCTTTGTTGTTTATCACATACTATTCTTATTAACTGAGCTTAAATTAGTGAAGTGTGGTTGCGCATTAAATCTGAGGCCCTTTTATCCCTAAACTTAATTAATGATTTGAGCTTATATACTTTTATGTAACCATTTTTCAGTACATAAAGATTTTCTTTGATGATTTAAAAACTCTGAACTTAATCATTGGGTGGTTTATTTTGTTGCAGCTGAGGTTGTGGCAGGATCAGCAGCGTGGCTTGGCCGAGGTCTTTCTTGCGTCTGTGCACAGAGAAGAGAGAGTGATGCTCGTCCTTCCTTTGATTTAACCCCTGTCCAGGTAACATGCTTGGAATTGGATAAACTGTATCTGTCCATTATATACGCCAGTGCGGATATACTTTTTAGATATGAGTCCTTGGTTTGCAGTTAATGAATTGTATTCATAAAGGGAATTCTTGTTCTTTCTCCAATGTGATTTACTTGAATACGAAAATTTCCTGTATGTAACACTTCCAGTTTCTGATTTTATCAATGCCTTCGATACATCCTATTTGTTTCTCACACTTGGACTTCTTTATGCAAGGAGTTGATGTATAAATTTAACCAGATTTCTATGTTTTTTTGGGGAGTTTCTGCATAAACTTTTAGGGCTCTTTGCTATTTGAAATACTTGGTCAGTTTAGGCTAATCTGATTACACTAGTATTTTACTTTGACTGGGGGTGGAAAGAGATGTGAGGCTGTCATGAAAATATAAAATAGTATCAGGACTTCTCTGTTCTTGAGATGAATGTATAGTTATTTTAATTACCCTAGCTTCTGTATTGATTGGCGATTTATCTAGAAAAATTTGTGCTGCTGCTTTATCCGTTCACCTTTCAGTTGCTTAAAATTTTTGTCATCAGCGTTTGTAAAATGAAATGTCATCTTGCTCTCTCAATAACCTTGAGTTTATATGCTGAGTTTATATGCTAAATTTATACCTTTCTACCCCTTGCTTTTTTTACTTAGGTTTGGTTTTAAGTTTTGGTCTGTGGGAAGAGGGGAAGGTTTGAGGGGTTCAAGAAAGCTGTCAAAACTAGTTTCTGGTGATAGAAATGATTATGAATTGTGGTTTATTTTATAGGAGTTTAAATCTGGTTTTGGTGCTGATTATGGTCATACAAGATCTTCTTTGAAAATATTGATTTTTTTAAAATTGATATGGCCGTAGAGAACTTTTGGAGGGTCATGAAGTTATAATTGTAGGCTGATTGGATTGTGCCCTGCGACTTAGTTGTATATGCCAACATTGTGACAATGTCACTGGAAGTTATCTACTATAAATAACTGTACGAGTTTTTGAAGATCCAGTACAGCTTTATTACTTTAGTTGCCAATGGTCTCTATGTAAATGCTTTCCTAGAACTGTAGCACTCAAAACATATGCTTTTGTTACATGTACATGGTATGATTGTTATGCTCTTTGGTTTGCCTTGATTCTGTCAGGAGGAATGCCTGCTGAGACTACAGAGCCGGATAGATGTTCCCTATGACAGTTTAGTCCCTGACCATCAGGTATATATATTAAGTGATTGGTTCCAGGAAAACCTGATTGTGTTTGTGGGGAGGATTTGCATTATTTTTAATTTTTTTCTGTGTACTTAGTCCATCAACATATTTTACATTGGTATGACTATTTTACCCTCTCTGGTTCACTCTAGGAAGCTTTGAGGGCCTTGTGGAATGCTGCCTTTCCTGAAGAAGAACTTCGTGGTTTAATATCTGAGCAATGGAAGGAAATGGGTTGGCAAGGGAAGGATCCATCAACAGATTTTAGGTAGATCTAGTATCTCCTTTGTCATTTGAACAGCTAATTTGTTGCTAGCTCTTTTATTTATCTTTTTCTGAATATTTTGCAGGGGTGGTGGTTTTATATCATTGGAGAATTTGTTGTTCTTTGCTAGGAATTTCCCGGTATGACCTCTGTCTGTCTGTATACACATGTACACAAAAACAATTTTTACCTCTCTGTGGGTGTGGGTGTGTACTAATATGCATCTCTGTTTGGCTGTTCTTGCATGTGTGGTGTGAGTTCTTTGGTTCTCATAAAGTTGCCGGGCCCTATAGGGAACTACATTAGGCCCATCTTATAAGCTACTTGTCTCATTGAAAGTTACATACTTTCATTGTAGAAATCTTTCCAGGATCTTCTTCGAAAGCAAGAAGGTGATAGGTCCGTGTGGGAATACCCATTTGCCGTTGCTGGTGTGAATATAACATTCATGCTTATTCAGATGCTTGATCTTGAAGCCGGTTGGTACTTTTTCTTGTTCTTTTTTTTCATTTATGTTCAAAAACCGAAACCTTTGAGGAATCAAAAGCATAGTGATGCTGAAAATATTTTAAGATAGTAGCTTTTTTTTTCTTTTAATGCTTTTTGTCACGTAACAATGTTTGTTTATGTGCAGTCAAACCACGAACATTGGTGGGAGCTACTTTCTTGAAGTTTCTTGCAGGTAAGTTCAGCTTGAATATGATGTTTCATGTATTTTGCTTAATATAATAATGTCTTTTTCTCTTGACAGAAAATGAATCAGCGTTTGACCTTATATATTGCATCACATTCAAGCTAATGGACCATCAATGGCTTTCTATGCGTGCATCATATATGGATTTCAATGTATGTATTCCTCAAGCAGAAGCCCTCCTTTTGTCTGCATTTGTGGCTAATCTTTTGATATATGTTATATCCTTCTAGTTAGCTTTAGTAAACCAAATTATGTGAATTTAGTTACAGTTAAATGTGTTAGTGGGGAAAACCTCTTCCGTCATCATGAGCTGGAGATGAATTTAGGGTTACATATTTTATCTTGTAGAAATTTCACACTTCTCTGGAGGTGGTCAGAGATTTTTAGGTTGGGCCAAAGGCTATAATGTGTTTTACACGTTTTGGTTTCTTTTGCTAACGTTTTGTCCTCGTTGGGTTGTGCTCCTAACAGACGGTGATGAAATCCACACGCCGGCAGTTGGAAAAAGAGCTTCTGTTTGAAGACATAACACGGCTGGAAGACTTGCCTTCTTATGGCCTTCTTTCCCGATAGCGTTGAAGCTTCTTCTAGAATCTATAAAATGGTCTGTCACAGCTAGTTACATGATCACCGGAAACGCTGTTATTTCTAACTGGATGGTGTTTGTACATGACATGATGTTTTCCAAAATTTGCTTGCTGCAAGTCTGCATATTGTCATTGATTCTTGGAAAGGGTTTTGGTGTTTAGTGGATCGAGTTTGTTAGAAGCTGGAACCAAGTGTGATGTGATTCAGGTTTGAAATACGGAATATAATCTCGTAAATTTGGGGTAAGACCAGAGCAATACTACTCCCAGTTCTCCCACGGCCAACGGGATGTTATACATATGTGTAGAGGTATGATTGGTAATTTGGTACCATATCTAGGAATGTGGAATGGAATGGGATTCAGTTTGGCTTTAACTTTTGAGTGCTTTCTGAAATATTATTATTTGACCAACTGAGAAATGATCCTTGGTGGGCACGGTACTCTTATGCCTGAAAGCCCTCCGGTTTAAAGTCTTGTATTTCTGCCTGACAAATGGAGATGGAAATTGTTCTCTCTTTTGGACATATGCAGAATGAATCTTCTTTTTTCTTTTCTTTTTTCCATCTAGTTTGCGTTTTAATTGCGAATAGAATTTTGGGGTTGTCTTGTTTGTCAACATAGACTATTAAAGGTGTTCTCAGTCTCACCCTTAATAGTCTATGCTCTCAAGTCTTTATTCCTATTATTTGATGGAAATTGTTTTTGTGCAAAAATGAAGTGATCGTTTGCCAATGACATAATTATTACCATAGGCTGTCTCTTATTCAACAAAGCATCTTGGAAAATTGTGGGCAAAAAGAAGATAATTCATGTTAATTCCCAATAATACTTATAGTTAGGCAGTTAGGTAAGAAAAAGGAAATTCCTCCTCACCAATATTCCATGGACAAGCTTGAAAAGCATACCAACAGCCTGATGGCACGTTTCCTTCGACCAAAGAATTTTATTCCAAGATGATCATACACGTAACAAATTAAACTTTATAGCCAAAGGATATTTTACCCTTGAATCAGAATCCCACATCGCATCTTCGACATCTTTCAAGAAACGACCTAATATACCCAATCCTTCTTAATCAGAAACTTTATGCTCCGTTTTGATAAAGGTATTCAAAAGAAAAGATTCGGATTTCGAAACAAGGCTAAATTTGTTTAAAAAACAAGAAAATATAAGATTGGGATTTCAAGGCTAAATTTACTTAAAAATACAAGAAAATATAAGAAAATCAAAGACCAGAATTGGATTTCGAGAGCATTATTTAATTACGAATTTTAATGTAGAGAATCTTAGAATCATTTGAAATCCATTTATTTTCTTCCATTTCATTTTTGTCCAAGTCTTGACAGCCATTTTATTCCTTTAATCTAAATCCCGAGATTCGAAATCTATCAATCCAAATGGGGCCTTCACTTCAGTGGTTTCATTTCAAAATAACATGCCAGAAATACAGATATCAAAACATAATCAGCATGTATCAAATTTTAACAACTTCGGATAGCATTCAATAAGTGACAAACTTTCATAACACACCCGAAGTTTCTTAGCTGTTAGAATTCAACAAGTGACAGGTTTCATTACTACTTAAACTTGAAACTTCATTTCAGAGGGTACATAACACACCCAAAGGCAACGGGAATTACAAAATAAGCTTTAATCTCTCTGGCATATCTAAGGCGCCAAGGCAATGGGAATCACCAGACCCAAATAAAAGGCAAAACTTAACAACTTCATTAAAAGACTAGTCCGAAAGTAAATAGGATGCTGGGCAGCAAGCGGCAGACTAATCGAACATGCTTTACTCATAGATCCAGTGGTGAACGCTGCTCTGCCAGTTAGCAGGGCCATCAGGGAACCACAGTGCAATCTCTTTCCTTGCACTCTCTGCTGAGTCGCTTCCATGAATGATGTTCCTGTATGCCAATAAAAGTTCATCGCGTCAAATATATTTACATTCTCAGTGACTGTTATTTACGATTAACTCGTATTCTCGAAGCAAACATCAACTTCCAGTGAATAAATCAGTCAAAAGATCATCTCATATGACATGTATGAGAGAATACACGCACAACGACTTAAAGGGTTCTTTGAATTTTAAACTGGCCACTTGGACATGCAATCAAACTATACACTTCCTGGAAAGATTGGAATATTATGTTCTGCCTAATTGGAGCCATCAACAACTTTAGTAAAAATCAAAGGTTCAAACAATAAATTTGAAAGCAGAGATAACTTTCCTATTAGCATACATTCCTATTTACCGCTGAGCATTTTCTCAAGAAAATGATTGGAAATCACATTATAGCCATCAGCGGTACCTATATACTAATATTTCAGAACTAAAGAAGAAAAATACACATGATCATATCCTTGTGCAAAAGAAACTGGAAAACATGGTAAATCAGGTTACCTGCCAATCTCAATTGCATAATCACCACGGATGGTTCCAGGGGCGGATTCTGCTGGGTTGGTGGCCCCAATAATCTTTCGGCCAGTTAGGACAACATTCTTACCCTCCCAAATCATAGCAACAACGGGACCAGAAATAATATAATCAACCAATCCACTGAAAAAGGGCTTTGCAGACAAGTCCTCATAGTGTTTCTCAGCAAAAGGACGATCCACATTGATGAACTTCAAACCTGAACAGATACCAGAAAAAAAAAAAACCTTATTGAGAAGAAATTCCTGATAAGTTACACATCCAAATTTGGCTAAGCATCCCAAAAAACTTATTGTAGTATAATTAACACATAGAAACTGTAAGCCATACATCAAATTTGATGTACGAAATTTTTTGTCTGTAAGTCATTAAGTTGATAATCATTATAAAACAGGAAAGGCTTGTTAAATAGGGTTGTCACATCAAAAATTATCAAAGTGCACATAATACTATAAGATCAAACATCGTTGATTGGAAATTACCTTTCAAATAGAAGCCCTTCTTCTCAAACCTGCTAATGACGTCACCAACCTGCAACAAACATGAACCCCTCAGAAAATTTGAAAACGTTTTTGCAAATAATTAAACAACACGCACGAATTGGATTAAAATAGTTTATTCGATTCTGTGTAAGAAAAAACTATGTTGTTCACCCACTTCACACATCCACAGACAATTAAAACTCAAGATTAATTAAAACTTCATGCATGTAAAATCCAACCACTACATACTACAAATATTAAAACTTCATGCATGTAAATAAAAACCTGAAATCCCAGCTCAGAATTATTAAAATTTGCCTGCTCCCCAGTCCACCCAAAAGAAAACCAACCCCTTCAATTCCTAGGCTTTCCCACCAACCAAACACCATACCAGTCACACTTGCTATGAAATTCATAAACAAAAACAAGAACTTAGGCAAACCCACTCAAACCCAGATAAGATTTTGCCCAGTTTTTAAAACTAACAGACCAAAATAAAGCTACAAAATTGAAGTACCAAAAGAATACAATAGATGAAGAATTTGAGGAAATTACCAGGCCTCTTTGAACCCCATCAGGCTTGATCATGATGAAAGTTTGCTCCATGTTTTCCGTTGAAGATTTAAGACTGCAGAAGTACTTGTTCTGAGAGTGTGGGTATATGCTATGAGACTGAGAGAGTGAGGGATCGAGGGTTTATATACACAGTTTACTAAAAGCAAACCCTAACACCAAGTGCTGTGGAATATTCGCGAACCATTTTTTCATTTTGTCATTTTCCTTTCTTTTGCTTTTCGGTTTTCAAAATAAAAAATTAAATTGGGCTTACCATAACCTCCGAAGGAATATGGAACATTCGACTTACTTTGAAAATTGGGCTTTTAAGCAACCCCCAGCCCCTAGAATATGTATAGGTGGCTGGTTCTTAACAGTGAAGAAACACATTGGGCTTTTGGTTTTTTTTATTTATTAGAAAGAGTGTGGCATGACTTTTCAATACAAACTCAATTCTGGATGAAAATGTTGGGTACCCGCGTATTTGAATTGATGAATTACGGCTTAATTTGTATTTATAACTTATTTTTTGTGACTATTTTGCCCTTGAAGGTAAATAATGGAAACAAATTAAAAGTCCTTGATTTAAAGCATTGTCACTCTTAACTTTTGAATTTGAATTTTAAACATTTATGGCTAAAAAAAATTTCAAAACTCATATAGATAATAATTTTTTTAAAAAAGGTATTATAAGTATAATGCACATAAATGGTTATTATGTCATTAATTTCAAAGCAACTAAAGAGAGTTTTGTTTTGGTAAATAATAAATAAAAATGGATATTATTAGAAGTAATATGGGCATTCAGAAAAGTCAAACTATGATAATTAATGAAAATTTTGATCTCAAAACCCCAAAAATAGGCCTAAATTGATCCTTAAAAAAACTAATGGGGTTTTCCCTATGAATGCTTGCAGTTAATATATAATTTTCTATTATTTAAAATAGATATAGGCAAGGCAAGGGACTTGTAACTTAACCCGAGGTCTTGTGTTTAAATCCTCTTTTCTTCGATATCACATTTATCAAAATAGCAAAAAAGGGTATGGAAGTAGACATAGGCTTAGCCAAGTTGGCTAGAGCGGATGAGCAAAATACCCTCGAATATTGAGCTTATGATTAGAAAATTTTTGACCCTTTATTTGAAATATACATGGAAATCCCTCCCTCCCTTCCATAGGAATGGGTAAAATACCCGCATAGCCACTCTAAGGACAAGGGTGGCCTGCCCTCACCCCCCCAACTCCCCTCTTGCTAAACTCCTAAAGGCCCTTTTGGTTCTCGCTTGGATGGATTTGACTTTAGCGGTGGTGGTCTCTTCAGCCAGGGCTTGTCCCTAACCTGTTGTGTCGGAGGATCTGGTGGATAGGAATGAAAAACTCAGTGTAGGTCTTTCGGGTGGATTGAACTTCCCGACAAAGAACTTCCAATGTTTAATCCCACGAGATGGGAATGAAGGATGTTCATTCTCATGTTTGGGAACGCTAGGAAATGAGGACTATGAAAGACTATTTTCTTCCATTCCCAAGTGGAGGGAAAAAGTTTTCCAAGGTGAGCCGAGGGTAAGAAATTTTCCCATACATGGGAAGTTCATACTCATGAGTTAGGTATTATATTCCCGAGAATGCATTTACTAAACATGAAAATGCAATTTCATACCCATTTTCAAGCTCTAAACCTTAAACCAAACGATATTTAGCTTTAGAGTGCTGCTAAACGAACCCTAAAATTAACTGAGTACACCCTACTATCAAACTATTTATTGAATTACTAATTTACCCTAATATAAAATGACCAAAAAGGATATATTGAATTGTGTACCCCAATATGTACACCATCCTTAAGACTTGACGCATGTCCATTGTTATAACTATGGTCAACTCTTTAATTTTAGGGAGTTTCACTAAAATACCCAAAATGAGGGCTGAAATTATAAAAATACCCAACACCCAAAACACTTTATAAACATACCCAAAACTCATCATTACACACACTCAAAACCCATTTATAAACATACCCAAAACCCATCATTACACACATACCCAAAACCCATTTTGGGTATGTTTCTATGTTTAAATAGTGCTTGGGTATTTTTATAAATACATGTCTAGGATTGGGTATTTTTA